TTGCTAGTATTTTAAACGGATTTGGTTGAAGTTGCTACAGTTTGTTAGTATGTCTTTTATTGCGTATAGTTCTTGGTATGCCGTACAGATTGGATTGGTTGATTGATTTTATTTAACGGCATATAGACACCTCTATGGGTTATTTAAGGCCGGAATTTAAATATTTTGAATGCAATTGTATGCCTTCAGCTATAGATAAGATGTATTGTTAGTCATTTTGCTATAAAATGTATTGTTGGTCATTCTACTAGAAATAGGTACTGTTTGTAATTTTTTTTCTTTTTTTACATACAAGTTTATTTCTGGTATTTTTATATTTTCATACTGTGTTGTTTTCGTTTGGGGGTTCACTATTTAGCCCATAGCTGGGGGCCTAAAGGGTATTACTACCCCGGGTCAGGGAGGACCTGGGAACAACAGAAATTAAGAGGTGGTTCCACGTTCCTGAAAACCTGCAATTTCTGATCAGAGACTTTGCTGTCGGATGTAGTTCAATGCACTTATCAGGACTTACGAAATAATGTTGTTTTTTTTTCTACCGTGTATTCCATCTTTAGTTTTCACAGGGGAGCGATGGCAATTACTGCACACGCCTACTTACAATATCTCAGCCAGCAAAGAAGTGGGAAAATGTAACTGGAAGAAAGTGCAAGATCATGTTAAAGGCAATCCGATATTGTTTGTAAATGAAATCTCTATCGTCGAAGGTAGATATGTGTCAGACAACACCGACGAAAAGGCAAGTATATCCCATTCGATAAGGGGAAAAAAACAGCGAATAAATATGGCTGGCTCGTAGATGCAAGACGAGATACAGACTTTGGGAGAATATACGGATACGATTCAAACTGTACCATTCTTTCAGACGTCGGCAAGGGAGGGAAATGGAAGCGAAAGTTGTGCGAAGACAGAGGATAGTAGAATTTGAAATGTGTGGGTATGAAGACATACAGACAGACAGATATTAGGATAGCTCGCTAGCTAGCTAGCTAGCTAACTAGATAGATAGATAGATAGATAGATAGATAGATAGATAGATAGATATGAAAAGATTTGTATAGATAGATAGATAGATAGATAGATAGATAGATAGATATGAAAAGATTTGTATACATAGATATGAAGATATTTTGATAGATAGATAGATAGATAGATAGATAGATAGATAGATAGATAGATAATGAAAAGATGGGATATATAGATATGAAGATAGATAGATAGATAGATAGATAGATAGATAGATAGAAATCCCAAAAAAGTCTAGAAATCAAAAAAAAAAAAAATAGATAGGTATACTGGTTCCCAGACTTCATGAATTCAAGCGCCCTACGAGGCTGGCATCCCGCTCTCGCCCTTTCAATGTCGAAACTACTCAATGTAGCCGTCTCTTCTACTCCAATAGCTTCATACCTCGCACCTCTCGCCTGTGGAACTCCCTTGCCTTGATCTATCCACTATCCCTCTCCTCATCTTGTCCTCTATCACTCCTATCTGATCTTCTGCAACCCCCTGCATCCTAGATGCTTCCCGCCTTGCTCGGGGCGTAACGCTTAAAAAAAAATCTTAAAATTGAGGATACCAAAAGAACGAAATAAATAAATAAAGAAAGAAAGAAAGAAAGAAAGAAAGAAAGAAAGAAAGAAAGAAAGAAACGTCATATATAGAATGGTGAAGAGAGATGAATCACCACAAACGTTGATTTATTCAATCAACTTGAACACGTAGTGAGTAATAACAAATAGTGAAAAGGAAATTGGCGGGAATTTTTTTTTTTTTTTTTTATTCTGCAAATAAATCAGTAGTTTGCATTGTTTTTGTTTTGTTTTGTTTTGTTTTTTAAGTCTGGGGAATTATGTGATTTACTTTTGTCTCTTATTTGTTTGGGGTTTTTTGGGGGTTTTTTTTTTGTAATGCCTTCTCTTTATTTACGAAAAATACATTTTATTTGACCTGGTCAGCCAATAGTCCATTCCCTTTTAACAACACCTTGGTCAAACAATATTTTGGTAGGTGACCAAGCGGACGCAGCCGTAAACACAACGAGAGTGAGATGTGGACACGTGATTCGATAGCCGACCATATTAAACTGTCAATGGTTTGTGTTACGTGATGGAAGAAAACGTTCGGACAGTGAATAATATTACTGGGAGTAATATCACCATATCATTCATTTGATTGCTTGTGTCGATGTTGTTTCTACGACTGTTATTGTGTTTGCGATATGGCATCGTCTGACCCAATATCCAAGAGCAGATGAACTGCTGAGAAAGTTTATATCAATCGGGTTGCGTGGCGGATAGATGATAAATATGAATAGTGATGACAGAAGAATTGTTTAATCAACCTAACATGGACTCTTGAGGATCGATAAATCGAGTATAATTTGCACATGCGCAGTAAAATTATAAAAAGGTATTTAAAGAGACTATCCAAGGTACATCCACAGAAACACGACACCTAAAGGTTAAAATAATTTTTTAAAAAATGAAAAATCTTTCTTGAAGCTTTTATTTTAGTTTGAATTCTAAACTAATAGATTAAATTTAATCTTTCCAATAAGCAAAATATTTTTTCTGTATTTAAAAAATAATTTTAATTCGCTGGAAGATGTTTTTCTTTTGAAATCGCTAAAATCGCCATTTTAGTCATTTCTAACCACAATGTAATTCTCTTTATTAAAAAGTCTTTCAAAAATAAAACATACTTTTCTGAAACTTTATTTGAGGAATATTAGCTGATTTAAAGAATCTGATTTAAAACAAATATTAATTTAAATTTAAAATATCACAGAAAAGTATTTTTTAACACGGTGATTGAGGTGATGACAGCTTCACTGACAAGACGGAAGTTTATCTAATTTTTTTCTACGGTGGACATATCCGTAAAAATTACTTGAGGAATGTACAATCGCGCCTTTCTTATATAATTTTTAACTACCCAGTATTCTGAAATATTTAGGAAAATATTCTCTGTAATCTAATGTTTTATTGAATTTTGAGTACTTAGGCTAATTTGTTATAGATATCTTTCATAATGTTATGTATGGACATCCGTATTTACAAAAATCGGCATGTTTATAGACATAAAATTCGAAATTCCTTTTAAAATATTGGCAGTCACTGAATTGTAGTAAACTTTTCTATTTATGACTAGTAAATATAGTTTTTGCTTAATAACAATATCACATAACTTGTACAAATTAATACAGAAGTTTAAAGGATTTAAAATTATTATAATTAAAATTTTAAAAACTGAAGACAATTCTTGTAAAAATTCATTATTCATTGAAAAAATATTTTCTTAGGACAATATATCTATAATATATCTTATACATACAAGCAATTAAAAGCTCTTATAATTAAATATTGCTTTAGTTTTACTGCACTTTTATTCTACGATTCAAAGCATATTTTGGGTAACTGAGGGTCCGGTTTTACCAAAAAGTTTATGATTTAAATTCTCCAAGGAGTTCTGCATATAACTAATATAAGCATAAAGTGGTACAAAAATAAATTTCTTGAAATGTCTTAAAATTAAATAAGTTGGGATTAAAAGATGTAAAAAAAAAAAATACAAGCTTTTTACCAAGAATTTCTAAAAAAAAAAAAAAAAAAAAAACATTTCTAAAATAATTTACTTCATTTGTGAATAAGTCCTGAAAGTTTCATTAGAATTCAACAAATATTTGATTTTTGCATGAATTTCCAAATCAGTGATTTTTAACGCAAAAAGACGCTAAATCATTACATTAATCATTAATCTCCCCTTCGCTGACGCAAGTAAAACAAGATTCTTATTAAAATTTCGAACGTTCTAAAAAGGATTAAAAGAAATAGAATTTAATAATCAAAAAAATCCTTTCCTCTTAACCCTAGAACACTAACTATGAATTAAAGTTATACCACTACTAATCATGGGTATATCATACCCGATTTTGAAAATATCAAAAAAAGTATTAAATATAAGTCTTTATTTGAAATATTTTACATGCAGGCACTTCAAACTTTGTACTTTGATTTAACATTAATAGGAACTGAAAAACATTATTTAGGTAAGAAAATCAGGTAGTGAAAATTGTAATTAAAAATAGGAAAATTTGCGCTGGGTACTATATACCCATGGTTAGTGTTCTAGGGTTAAGAATAACATAAAGATTTTGATGATAAAACTGTTTTTATAAAGTTTAGGGCATTTTTCCATTATGGTATGCTCTTTTTTTAGCGAATCTGTGGAGCTACCTACACCATGCTCTCTTTGTTGACTATGCTTAGTGCAGCGTGACTAAATTTATCACAAAAACAGATATGTTAAAATTGTAATGGCGTGGACGGTATTATCCAAAAAGAATTCCATCTGAAAATCAGAAATTAAATAAACCCTTAGAGCTCAATTCTTCAGATCCGGTTAGAAACATTCCTCTTGCACAAGTCAGGAAGATTTTTTTTACATTTATTTGCATTACTATATCATTTGTATTACCAAAAGCAAAGACTTAGATTCCCTTACGCAAATATACCTTTGGGAAAGGTATCTTCCCCACCTATGGGTTAATTAGTATGATTTGTATCACTGGACCATTATTATCTTTAAAAGAAAATCTTACAATCTAAAAATATTTTCTGGCTTTAAATAACCTGCAAAATTTCAGAAAAGTATGCTTTATTTTTTAAAAAATTTTAATAAAGAGAATTACATTATGGTTAGAAATGACTGGCGATTTTAGCGATTTCAAAAGAAAAACATCTTCCAGCGAATTAAAATTATTTTTTAAATGCAGAAAAAATATTTTGCTTATTGGAAATATTAAATTTAATCTATTAACTTAGAATTCAAACTAAAATAAAAGCTTCAAGAAAGATTTTTCATTTTTTAAAAAATTATTTCAACCTTTAGGTGTCGCGTTTCTGTGGATGTACCTTAGATAGTCTCTTTAAATACCTTTTTATAATTTTACTGCACATGTGCAAATTATGCTGCAAATTATAAGCCGTAGAAAATGAATGAATCGATCAATTCGTACTCTTCCTCCTTTATCATTATTATTAATAATATTTCCTACCCTACGTTTTGTTCCTTTAACTCTTTATTTCTTCTTCTTCTTCTTCTTCTTCTTCTTCTTCTTCTTCTTCTTCTTCGCATTCGAATCCTTATTAATATTTATACTCGTTCAGCTTCTATACAAGTGGCAACTTTGGCTTTCATAGGAGATCAAGTGACAGAAGTATTTGCAATACCAACGGTATTCTAGCCAATTTTACAAATGCTATCGTCCTGATGCTCTCAATTCTTCCAGATTTTTCGCTAAGCACTTCTGGACTTCTCCTAGTCCTCTGACCATTCATTCTGAGATGAGGTATTATGTACATTATTTACATTATTCGGACTATTGTCCTCATCTCTGTCGCCATATTTATTACAATGTTTCAGCCGTTGTACGTTCCGGCCTTTTTCGGAATGTCGAACTGAACCCTTTCTTTCGCTTACGTTGTTCCACGTGCCATGTTTTAATGGATGTAAGTTGTCACTTATCTCCTTTTAATTCCCCTCTCCAAGTTCTCCACTGCCTTAACCGGGTATTGAAATCTCAATCTGTGTATGAATTTCTGGGTATTATAAACCTAATGTCTTCAGCAACCTATTTTACCAGTGCTCATATTGCAATTTTTGCTGTTATCATTACATGTTTTTACCAGAGCTCATATTGCTTGTTCTCCGACCATAAATGGCACTATTGTAACATGGCCAAGATACTTATCTAGTGTTTAGGTTTGTCTTTGTTTTATTCTGTGGTCTGCATGAATAAAGAAAACACATGTCCCAGTGGATAAAGGCGTTGGTTAGATCCAGTGACTAGACCCAAAAGGTTGTGAGTTCAATACCAGGCTACAGCAGTGGTGGACCAAAAAAACATTGAGAGTTCAGTTAAACGGAAATAATTGAGACATCCGGAAGAGGCATGGCACGTGGAACTAGAACAATCTACCCCCCCACACACACACATACACACACACATATACACACCCACTAGACGAAATGCGGGATTCGGATCGAAATTGCAATCACCTGAAAAAGGCCGGTGCTTACAACGGCCGAAACGTTGTGAATATGGCAATGAAGATAAGGATAACAGTCCGAATAATGTAAATAAAGAAAACGGGATCTGATTTTCTAGCTCGGGTTCTTCAAATGATCTCAGTTATGATACAAACTCCAGTACAGATTCGGCGTTAATTTGTGGAATAGACTCCCGCGTGAACGCTTTCCCGAACACTACAATCTCTAAACCACTTCAAGTCGAGTGTCAATCGTTATCCATCGTACATGTTCTCATAATCTTTACTTCCCACTTCCTCCAGTGACGTTCATAAGAAATTATTTTTATTTCATGTGTGACTTTCTCTGGATTTCGCAATTAATTTCGATTATTATCAAATTTAATTCCAAATTATAAAAGTTGTTATCGTACAAAAAAATTCATCGAAAAAATCACATAAAAAATCGCCGGAAACAATCACAGGAATGAAAACTTAAGATTCCAAAATTTCAGGATTACGGGTCTGGATCCGGGCTGGATTTTTTTTTAATTTGCTAACGGAGTCTGCCTGATTCCAAACTAGAATGGTATGTTGGGCTTACGGCCTCTAGGAGTAAAGTTGAAAAAGTATGACGCACTGAAATTCACATCGCATTTATTATAGTAATTTTCTAAGCCCGGCTTAGATGTGGAACAAGGCCAAAAGTATGGGGCACCCAATGAGGATCGAACTCGCTACTCACTCGTAACTGATCTAGCAAGACAAGTTTTCTAACCATTACACAACGTCGAGGTGCCCAATCACAATTTATTATATAGAAGACACAGGAAAGCCTAGATACCAAATAAGGATCGATAACGTCTTTCTTCTTTTTCTTCTTCTTCTTCTTCTGATTATGATTATGATTATGATGGGCACGTAGCTGAGTGGTTAGAACGTTGGAATTCTAACCCGTGTTCGAATCTCGCCATTTGTCAGGAATGTGACTTCCTGACGTTATCAGACTGGAGGGGTCGATCCCAGGCTGCGGCACCTTTGAAGACCCTACTACGGGTTGACCCAATCATTGTGAGTGAAATTGGCTAGACGGAATCCTTGGGGGCCGTCGATAGCTGTGCTAGCATAAAGTCACAAGCCGTCGTGGCAGAGGACATGAGCGTAATGACCTAGTTGAAATTGTTGATCGCTCTATATAACACGCTCTTTCCCGGAAACTGTAACTAAGGTCTGCTCATAATAGTTGCAGTATAAACCACAGGTGGGCTTTGTGGGTGTTAAATAAACACAAAATGTGCCTGAGCAAGCATCTGCAATAGGGATTGGCTAGCCACCCTAGTAGACGGGTATCCTCGAATACGAGTGGCCAACTATACCTTATTATTATTATTATTATTATTATTTCTCGACATTCTTTTTGTTTCTTCTTTCGTTATTTCTTCTTCCTTTACTTTCATTCCTTCTTTTGTTATTTCCTTCTTTTTCTTCTTCTTCTTCTTCTTCTTCTTATTATTATTATTATTATTATTTCACTTCCTTTTCCCTCTTTATTTCTTCTTCTTCTTCTTTGGTCATACGATCCACAAATTAAACTCCATAAATAATTCGATGAATCTGGTAAGTGAAAGGCGATATCAACCCCCATCGACAAAATTGTAAATCAACACTGACCAAAAGTGCAGTAAAGACTTCAAGAGAAATCAGAGATTCCAAAGTTCGATGGGAACGGAATGATGTTAAATATGCGAAGAACGGTTTTGACCGATGATTTCGCTGAATGTAATCTTTAAAATAGAGACAGTGTTGAACCAAAATAAATGCCCAACTTTCGCCGCCGAGATTGTCTGTGTAAGAAAGTAATCCTTTAAATTTCATTCTTATTATTGGCGGTCGTAATGTTAATGACGCTGCGTTGATGGCAGTTACCAAAAAGAAAAACTAAAAGAATTCTTAAAAGTGACAGCCAAAGATGTGAGCGTGTGGTGGACTTCACCACATTAATTTAACTTTAGATTAGGAAACAGTGCTGACACAAGAAAGGATAAGCAAAAGACATTGTTACACATAAAATATGTATTTAACAAGATGTACAATATCAAACAACAATGTGAAAGAAAGCATGCATTTAAGTAAGAAAAAGATTTATAATAAAACAAGAGATTTTAACTGTTAGAGAGACAGGGGAAAACAACGCATAACCTACCTAGCAAGTTTTAGAGAAAATGGAAACAAAAAGGACACTCAGCATTAGAAAGAGAGAGTTAAAATCTCTAGGGCATATAAAGAGGAGAGAGGGCTTGGAAAATTTGATACTCACAGGACAGATTGAAGTCAAAGAGGGATAGAGGAAAACAATGCATAACCTACCTAGCAAGTTTTAGAGAAAATGGAAACAAAAAGGACACTTATACTTAACATCAGGAAGAGACGGTGGAAATTTCTGTGGCGCGTAAAGAGGAAAGACGGCTTGGAAAATCTGATACTCACAGGACAGATTGAAGGCAAGAGGGACAGAGGAAAACAACGCATAACGTAAGTAGAGGGCTTGTGTAAATGGATGTGTTTGTAAGAGCTACAAAGAAGAAGAAGAAGAAGAAGAAGAAGAAGAAGAAGAAGAAGATTTTAAACTGAAGCTCAAAGCCGATGAAAGTAGACACAGAATTTTTGAATTGGATGAAAAAGAAAATATAAGCTTACAGCCCAAAACTGGTCTAAGCCTTTTAACGGTGACGAATTTATTTGTGGAAATAAAGGCTGACGACTTAGTTGCTGATTGTGACGCTTTTAGAAACGAACATTGACATGCACATTTGAGAACATTGTGAAAGGATAAAATCATTGAAAGACGCCATAAGTAAAATATTACATAAGCTTTAAGAAACAAACAGGATCCTCCTCGTGAGATTTCCCGGGATTGAAAAAGGCGAAACATACTTTTTTTATGCACCCTCCAATATTACGAATACTATTGGTGTATTTAAACAAAACATCAAAGACAACAAAGCCAGACGGTCGGGAAAGATAAAGCTATATAGTTAGAGTTGATCTTCTGCAAACATTTACTTTCCTAATTCAAACAGTAGCTCAAATGTCGCGATAAGAGAGACATCTTGAGAAATAACGAATTCGAGTCTCACAGGTAATTTCTTCCAACCCGATTAGCCGAGACTTTCATATGGGTGTCATGCAAGGCGGCAAACTCTTTCATAAATTTCTACGCTGCCAGCTGTACACAACCGCATTATCAACTCAATGATTAAAATGATGATTGTGTCTAGCGTGAAACAGTCTGTCGCATCTGAATGTTGACTTCAATGTTCACTTTTATATATATATATATATATATATATATATATATATATATATATATATATATATATATATATATATATATATAAAGACATTTTATATTTAACATTCTTTTTATAGATACAAGTATTTTAGTAAATGCTCTGTTTACAATAAACAGTATTAAATAACATTTACCGGCCTGAATGTCCGAGAAATTTTCATAGAAAATATTCGTCCTTTGAATTTTCTATGAAATTTCTCGGACAGAGCATTTACTAAAATACTTGTATCTATAAAAAGAATGTTAAAATAAAAAATGTCTTTAATAAATTGTCAGACTTTCTCCATTTCTTAATATATATATATATATATATATATATATATATATATATATATATATATATATATATCGGCTGTCAATATATCTCATAACACCCTTCACCGCTTAGCATTGGAGCGGGTACAATGGAGATCAACGTGTTTTAGTGGACTCAGCAGTTTTCAATCAGCTTGTCTGAATCGTCTTCAATAAGCGAGAGCAAGATCTAAAAAGTCAGTCAATCTAACAGTGAACTCATCCAACAAACTTTACTCTTGCTCCTTATGCCGGCCCCCTTTGTAAATCACTAGCGGGTTCTTAAGTGCCATTAAAGATTATCGCACAAAATTTGATAACTGAATCAATCACGTTGTCAGATCCTCATACGTCGAAACCGACGGGTGAGTCCATACCCATAGCTGGAGAGAGATGAGAGGGTATTGGCACGTAAGTACTAATTCAAACTCGACTCCCCGATTCCTCAATCCGAGCCGCTATCCACTACTCCACCGTGACCCCCCTCTCTCTCTCTCTCTATATATATATATATATATATATATATATATTAATTAACCCAAGCAAGGTCAAACGATGCCACTAAGACGCAAGGAGCTACTGGAAGTAGAATAGAATTAAAAGTCTTTAGAAGGAACCGGAAATCCGATTCTAAGCAGGGGCAAACCTCTACTCCTGTTCAAAAAGACTGGTGTAGTGTGTTAACCGTACGATAAACGAACCTATCTATCTCTCTTTCTCTCTCTCTCTCTCTCTATATATATATATATATATATATATATATATATATATATATATATATATATATATATATATCAGTAAAAGTTTGTCACTTAGCTGATTGATGTTAATGTCAGTTTCTCATTTTAGAGTCTCGTGGGCGGACCAGTCAGTCCACTCTTCAGGGGATATCAGCAATTTATTGCTTAAATTTTTCTTTTCTTTTTTTTTTTCTTTTTTACGTATTTCAGAGTGAAAGAAAGTTTAACGTGTTTGTTTCCTAACACCTTTCCTTGCAATCACGAGTTACATAAATTGCTAAGTTAAAATATATCACATTATCGACTGTTTCTAAATTGTACAGATTGTAGACTTTTCACGCAAGTCCGATTACATCTTCCCGCCTTTTTTATTGCCCGAATCAGAAAGTTAATTATAATTCCCAACATCCTGCAAGAAAAAAAAATGCCCCATCATTATGTTGCTATCATATTTCATCTCTAATCAGTTTCGGAATCAAGTTTTCTTTTACAACTTCGGAATATTATTCCCAGTGATGCGGAGGTAAGTTAATCATAAACTAAATGTAATTATATTTTTATTTCTTTTCATCTATATTTTTTCTTGCCCTTTTTTTTATCATTTTCGACATGAGAGCTGAGCGTCCGGTCGTTCGGCCATTTTGTTGGTTGGCCTTCCTTTTTTAAGTCGGTTGCACTCTATTATCTTGTCAGTCGATGCTTTTCATTGCCCACTGACAGGCAGACGACAAAAAATGATAGGATTCGAAAGGCCACAGAAATTTGAAAAGGACTTCTTATGAGTTTTCTGGCTTGATTATATCTTTTTCTGTCTTCCTTGCCGACACGTTCACTTCCTTTCATTCCAATGAAAAAGCGTTTTCCCACTTCCTTCTCCTCTTCCAGTTACCTCTTCTTCCTCTTTCGCTGTTCTCATTCGTTTTTCTCTAACGATGTTTTGAGGCCAGTTTCTTCGTCGGATGATTTCTTCTCTCTACTCCCCCCACCCCCGCCCACCAGCAAAAATTTCTTTTTTATATTCTCTTCTTCACTGTTTCTCTCTTACAATTTAGCCCTCTTTCTATCCATCTCGCTAGATCAGTGGTTCTCAACCGGGGTCTACATGGACCCTAGGGGTCCATGTAATATTTCCGGGGGTCCACAGGCAAAACACAATTGTTGTGTTAATTAAAAATAGTAATAATAATTATTATTACAATTATAGTAGAATATTTTATTTGTATTAAATTAGTTTTCATTTAAAAATAAAGCTTAATCGTTTACTATTTCTTTGATAATTAAAACCTTAAAATTTATATTAGTGAAGAATAGAAAATTGTTCTTATGTCCAATAGCTATGAAGGGGTCCACCAAGATAAAAAGAAGGGGAAAGGGGTCCATGGGTAAAAAAAGGTTGAGAACCACTGCGCTAGATAATGCTTAGAAAGGCGTCCGATTCCCAGCTGGAAAAAACGTACAAATTCGCGAAATATTTGTACTGAAAATAGGATATTTTTCTTTGTTTTTTTTTTTTTACTGTATTTATGGTCAAACTTTCCAATAAAATTTCTTTGAACTTTAAAATGTTTCTCTGAGTGATTTTATCTCATAAATACACAATAGCGTGAATGTTAAAATGGCGACTAGTGGACACAACGAGCAGATTTCAACTTTGTGTCCAGTTCGTTACGTTTAATTCGCACTAATAACTTTGGGAAAGGTATGAATCCTTTTCTTCACCTCTTCAACTGTAGGATAAATAACAGGGTAGACTGTGATCTCTAGCCTTGAGTGGTAACCGGAGAATGATTAATTTGAATTAAAAACAGTAGGAAAAACAATAGGAAACCACTTCACCATCTTTCCCAAGAAGTCAGGGTAATTCACTTAAAAAGAAGAAAACGTGGAGAGCCATTATTGCCTACGTTCTAAAGGGATACGACATTAAAATAAAATGTAAGGCTAAAACACACAACGGGAAAATCACTGGAATTTAAAAATGTCAGCCTGTAAAACGACATGTTTTTGGAAGTTTCCACTGGCTAGATACATTTTATCGCAACGTTCAGGTCGTTTTAAGATTCTACGACCGTCAGGTAAGTGTCATGAATCAGAAATATAACTGTAGTTTAAAATAGCTTTATTCACTCTTTAGGAAGCCGTCTAGTATTAAAATGCCTTGCCGGTTTAGAATTGAGAACAATAATATTGATTAAATTTAAATTTAGTCATATAGATGCATTCACATTATTAATTTTTTACAGTATTTTTTTATCTTAATTTTTTTGTCGGCTCATCACAACTGTCACTGGCTTACGGCCATATCTCGATGAAACACCGTTCCCGTACGATAACCGAAGTTAAGCAACGTCGAGACTAGTCAGTACCTAGATTAGTGACCTCTTTGGAATACCGGATGCTGTAAGCTTGGGTGCGCGGCTGGTGTAATATATAATGGGTCGGTATTTTTAAGGAGGCGGAGTAATGGATAGCGACTCGAATTGAAGAATCAGAGAGCCGAGTTCGAATTCCATTACATTCACTTACGTGCTAATACCCTTGGGTATCCTTGATATGAATCCTCTTCTTCCCTCCCTAGCTATGGGTAAATAGCAGGACAGACCGAGTTCTATAGTCTTGGATGGCAACTGGTCTACCGCAGAAAGAAATGGCAACCTACTGCGGGAAAAAATCTGCCTCGTCAGTTATATATCGAAAAAATGACGGAAGGTACATGATCGCCTAAGCGTTTATCACACATGGCACATAACTAACTGATTATTAATCAGAAAGCCAAATTCCAAAACCCGTTGGGTTCGTAATATTTATATACACTCAAATAATCTTGAGAAAGGTATAAATCCAACTGTTCTCCCCCAGCTATGGATTAATTAGCAATTCTTGTATCACTGTCATTATTATTTCCACCCGCGAAAAAAAAGGTTACAATCTAAAAAATATTTTGGGATTTTAAATAACCTGCACAGGGTTGATAAGCCATAAAAAACGAAAAAAGGTTAAAGGACAGAGTCGCAACTGAGGAAAATTATACTGAGAGGTGCCCAGCCCTGGGGAACAGCTGCCCGAGGCTGCACCCTCTCATTGCACCAGAGAGAGGGATCAGTGCTCGCACCGAGGCCTGCGCAACTAACGGTTGCGAGGGCTGCTGGCAATTTTTGTTCCTGGCCCGGGTGTACAAGCTCGGACCCCCAGCTTAAAAAAAGACCTTGTGTCACAATTCATTTTAGTGGGGAGACAGAATAAATATCTAATTTGTTTAAATCCAGTGTGAGTAGATATAATATTCATTACCCTACCTTTTTTATTTTTGATTACTCTACACCTTCGGTGGGGGGGGGGGGTAGGTGATCATGACTCTCCACACATTCCTTCATTATCAGTGAATTACTATGTATTACTTTCGCCATAATACATATTTAGGATTGTCACACTGCTTTCTTCTCATACGTGCTTGTAATTGGTACTATTGTGGTCACGCGATCGAGGTTTGAACATGATTGCCCCAGTTTTCTTGTTGCTGCTACAGTGTAAACATGACCGCTCCGCTCACAGTGTGCACCAAGGAGAAACAAAGAGCAGTGATCCGATTTCTCTGGCTGAAAGGTTAGTCAGGGGCTGAAATTCATCAAAGGCTTTTAATACAATACAACGACAGTACATTACCGCGTGGAAGTGGGTATAAGTGGATCGGGAAGTTTAAAGTTCCGTCAACCACCACCAGTGACGAGAAGATTCAGTAAGCTCGGGGATAGTAATCGCGAACATCGACGAGTAGCATGTTCTCTTCGGATTCGGATCACTGCTCTTTCTTCCTCCTTGGTGCACACTGCTAGCGGAGCGGCCATGTTTGCACTGTAACAGCAGCAAGAAAACTGACGCGATCAAGCTAAACGTTCGATCACATGACCGTAGTACCAACTGTAAGCAGGCATGAGCAGAAGGCAACATGACAAGTCTAAAGATATGTTATGGCGAAAGAGCGAATAATTTTTGTCTTGGCCTCGTATAATTCCATTTTTCTTTGTTTTGTATAGTCGCCTACTTCCGCGACCCTTCCATTTATTTTTCTTCTTCAACCTTCTTCACGGTGTCAATTATTCTTGTTATCATCATTCTACTTTCCTTTTCCCTTCCCTGCTCGTTGTCTCGCTTTATGTCCAATGGAAACTTTAATTATGATCACGTCATCGCCACGTAACACATCAACGCGATCTTAAATCATGTTTTTACGACTCTGAGACTAGCCATTCGCATCACATTTAATGAAAATATGGCGTCAGAAAATATAATTAGATCGTAATTACGATGACCATGACGCCTTCACGTTTCTGGTTCAGGGTTTTATTGTAATGTTTTGACATTATCATCCCTTTTGAAATTAAGGCCTCAACGAATTAATGCCTTTTAGAACCTTTCTTGAAGAGCGTTAGTATCTCAATCCAACAGAGACATTGGCGTACAAACACAAACTATAGTACATATATATTCACATACAGTGCTGTGCAAAAGTAGGTGAACCCCTAAGATAATACTTTTAAAAATTGTCTCTTTTTTCCGGATGATTAACAAATCTTAATTAATAGATTCATTCAGAAAAAATCTTAATTGATATATTTATTCAGAAAAAATCTTAATTAATAGATTCATTCAGAAAAAATCTTAATTGATATATTTATTCAGAAAAAATCTTAATTAATAAATTCATTCAGAAAAAATCTTAATTAATAGATTCATTCAGAAAAAAAATCTTAATTAATAGATTCATTCAGAAAAAATCTTAATATATTCATTCAGAAAAGAAACTTTATTAAATCAATTAAAATATTTATTAAATTATTTCAAAAATATTTATTAATCTGAAATAAAAATATTAATTAAGATGTGCGAAAGTAAATGAACCCTTACATTTAATATTTGGTGACTGCATCTTTTGAGGTTACAATGTTAACCAGTCTTTTTCTATAATTTTTAAGAAGTTTCTGGCAATAGTGAATGCCGATTGTTAATTATTCTTCTTGGCAAAACTCACACAATTGCTCGATTTTACCTGAGTTTCTTGCATATACTGCTTTCTTTCACTTGAATCACAGATTTTCATTTAGGTTTAGATCAGGACATCGATTAGGCAATTCCAAAACTTTAAATTTCTTTTTATAAACTCACTACTATGTAGATTTGCTTTGATGCTTCAGATCATTGTCCTGTTAGAAATTCCAGCCACCACCTAAACTCAACATTTGAACTGAGGACAAGACACTTTCATTCAAAATTGCTTGATATCTTGCAGAGTCCATTGTGCCGTCAATGTGCGCTATTTTGCTTGTTCTAACTGCACCGCCATGTTTAATGGTTGGTATCTAATTCTTCTCTTCAAAAGCCGTATTAGGTGCTCGATAGCTATACCACCTATTGCCCCTCCCAAAAAGCTCTAGTTTGGTCTCATCCGACCATAAAACCCTTTGCCAGAATGTTTCTAGCTTATTAATATGAGTTCTGGCATATATGAGGCGAGCATGCTTGTGCTTTTGCGTAAACAGTGGCATTTTTCTAGGCATTCTGCCATGAAGATCGGCATTGTTCAGATTTCGTCGCACTGTAGATGTATTCACATTGATTCCGACATTGGCCAGTGAGTGTTGAAAAACCGCAAAATTCACAGCAAGATTTGCCTGGGCTTGCTGAATTAGTGTCTACATGCTCTTGAAGTTATTTTTCGCGGACAGCTACTTATTGATTGTGATGTCGTCATTCCGAAGGCCTTCCATTTATAAATAAATTGTTGCACAGTGAATAAGTGCACTCCAAATCATTTTGATAACTTTCTGTAGCCTTCTCCATCATTAGGGGTTTCAGCTATACGATTTTTAAAACTTCAGGAAGTTCTTTTGATCTTTACATAACTGCACACATTTGCATACACAATGAGTTATATTGTTTGACTGCAGTATACACAGCTTACCCAAAAAATGAGCACTTCTCATTTTGATTTTTACATGTGCACAAAAAATTATTTGCATTGGCAACCATGTAAAACAAAAGTACAGAGTGTAAATGTAAGAATTCACTTACTTTTGCACATCTTAATTTTTAATATTTAATTAATATTTTTATTCTAGTTTGATAAATATCTTTGAAAATGGTTTTAATTCATTTAATAAAGGTTTTTTTTCCTTAATGAATATAGAGTTTAATTAAGATTTGTTGATTGTCTAGAAAAAAGAGACAATTATTTTAAATATTATCTTAGGTTCACCTACTCTTACACAGAACTGCATATATTGATACACACAGAGAAACACACAAATGCACGTTATGTGTGTGCGCACGCATGTGTGTGCGCCCGCGCGTGTGTGTGCGCGCGTGTGTGTGTGTGAGAGAGAGAGAGAAAGAAAAGAGTATGGCTGATGCTAACCTACATGCGAGTGTATTATTGCGCGTTCTTGAGCTAAAGTTTTCCGTTGGTATAAAGTGGAACAATTATAATAAATCAATTCCTAGGTCTGCTAATTAAAAAAAAAGTTGCTTTACTTTGTTGCGGTAGACATTTTTTTTCTTACCAAAATCTATTTTACACTTTTATGAATCTACCATTTGCTCATGCATTGAATATTACTGTCATGTTGGATCTGGTAGTTCTGCTATGGATTTAAGATTTCTTGATAAAATACTAAAAAAGAAACCTCTTTTTCCTTATTCTAATGCTTTTCTTTTTATTTATTCGACCCATTTCTTTGTTTTCTTAACCGTTACATTTTTATTCAATTCTTTTCTTTTTGTTTTATCTACCCGTTTCTCTTTATTCAATTCTTTTAGTTTTATCTACCCGTTTCTCTTTATTCAATTCTTTTCTTTTTGTTTTATCTACCCGTTTCTTTTTATTCAATTCTTTTTGTTTTATCTACCCGTTTCTCTTTATTCAATTCTTTTCTTTTTGTTTTATCTACCCGTTTCTCTTTATTTAGTTCTTTTCTTTTTGTTTTATCTACCCGTTTCTCTTTATTCAATTCTTTTCTTTTTGTTTTATCTACCCCTTTCTTTTTATTCAATTCTTTTCTTTTTGTTTTATCTACCCGTTTTTCTTTATTCAATTCTTTTCTTTTTGTTTTATCTAGCCGTCTCTTTTTATTCAATTCTTTTTGTTTTATCTACCCGTTTCTCTTTATTCAATTCTTTTCTTTTTGTTTTATCTACCCGTTTCTCTTTATTCAATTCTTTTCTTTTTGTTTTATCTACCCGTTTCTCTTTATTCAATTCTTTTCTTTTTGTTTTATCTACCCGTTTCTTTTTATTCAATTCTTTTTGTTTTATCTACCCGTTTCTCTTTATTCAATTCTTTTCTTTTTGTTTTATCTACCCGTTTCTCTTTATTTAGTTCTTTTCTTTTTGTTTTATCTACCCGTTTCTCTTTATTCAATTCTTTTCTTTTTTGTTTTATCTACCGTCTCTTTTTATTCAATTCTTTTCTTTTTTTGTTTTATCTACCCGTTTTTCTTTATTCAATTCTTTTTTTTTTGTTTTATCTACCCGTCTCTTTTTTATTCAATTCTTTTTGTTTTATCTACCCGTTTCTCTTTATTCAATTCTTTTCTTTTTTGTTTTATCTACCCGTTTCTCTTTATTCAATTCTTTTTCTTTTGTTTTATCTACCCGTTTCTTTTATTCAATTCTTTTTGTTTTATCTACCCGTTTCTCTTTATTCAATTCTTTTCTTTTTTTGTTTTATCTACCCGTTTCTCTTTATTTAGTTCTTTTTTTTTTTTATCTACCCGTTTCTCTTTATTCAATTCTTTTCTTTTTGTTTTATCTACCCGTTTCTTTTTATTCAATTCTTTTTGTTTTATCTACCCGTTTCTCTTTATTCAATTCTTTTCTTTTTGTTTTATCTACCCGTCTCTTTTTATTCAATTCTTTTTGTTTTATCTACCCCTTTCTTTTTATTCAATTCTTTTCTTTTTGTTTTATCTACCCGTTTCTCTTTATTCAATTCTTTTGTTTTTGTTTTATCTACCCGTTTCTTTTTATTCAATTCTTTTTGTTTTATCTACCCGTTTCTCTTTATTCAATTCTTTTCTTTTTGTTTCATCTACCCGTTTCTCTTTATTCAATTCTTTTCTTTTTGTTTTATCTACCCGTTTCTTTTTATTCAATTCTTTTTGTTTTATCTACCCGTTTCTCTTTATTCAATTCTTTTCTTTTTGTTTTATCTAACCGTTTCTTTTTATTCAATTCTTTTTGTTTTATCTACCCGTTTCTCTTTATTCAATTCTTTTCTTTTTGTTTTATCTACCCGTTTCTCTTTATTCAATTCTTTTATTTTTGTTTTATCTACCCGTTTCTTTTTATTCAATTCTTTTTGTTTTATCTACCCGTTTCTCTTTATTCAATTCTTTTCTTTTTGTTTTATCTACCCGTTTCTTTTTATTCAATTCTTTTTGTTTTATCTACCCCTTTCTTTTTATTCAATTCTTTTCTTTTTGTTTTATCTACCCGTTTCTCTTTATTCAATTCTTTTCTTTTTGTTTTATCTACCCGTTTCTTTTTATTCAATTCTTTTCTTTTTGTTTTATCTACCCGATTGTCTTTATTCAATTCTTTTCTTTTTGTTTTATCTACCCGTTTCTCTTTATTCAATTCTTTTCTTTTTGTTTTATCTACCCGTTTCTTTTTATTCAATTCTTTTCTTTTTGTTTTATCTACCCGTTTCTCTTAATTCAATTCTTTTCTTTTTGTTTTATCTACCCGTTTCTCTTTATTCAATTTTTTTCTTTTTGTTTTATCTACCCCTTTCTTTTTATTCAATTCTTTTCTTTTTGTTTTATCTACCCGTTTCTCTTTATTCAATTCTTTTCTTTTTGTTTTATCTACCCGTTTCTCTTTATTCAGTTCTTTTCTTTTTGTTTTATCTACCCGTCTCTTTTTATTCAATTCTTTTTGTTTTATCTACCCGTTTCTCTTTATTCAATTCTTTTCTTTTTGTTTTATCTACCCGTTTCTTTTTATTCACTACTTTTCTTTTTGTTTTATCTACCCGTTTCTCTTTATTCAATTCTTTTCTTTTTGTTTTATCTACCCGTTTCTCTTTATTCAATTCTTTTCTTTTTGTTTTATCTACCCGTCTCTTTTTATTCAATTCTTTTTGTTTTCTCTACCCGTTTCTCTTTATTCAATTCTTTTCTTTTTGTTTTATCTACCCCTTTCTTTTTATTCAATTCTTTTCTTTTTGTTTTATCTACCCGTTTCTCTTTATTCAATTCTTTTCTTTTTGTTTTATCTACCCGTTTCTCTTTATTCAGTTCTTTTCTTTTTGTTTTTCCTACCCGTTTTTCTTTATTCAATTCTTTTCTTTTTGTCTTTTCCACCCGTTTCTTCTCTTTTCACCCTTTTCTTTGTGTGTTATTTACCCGTTTCTTCTCTATTCCACCCTTTTCTTTTTTTTTCTTTTTCTACCCTTTTCATCTTTATTTAATCACTTTCTTTTTACCTTTCCCCCCTCTTTCTTATTCGATGCTTTTCTTTTCTTTCTACTCATCCTTTAACCATTTTCTTTCTTTTTTCTTTCTTTTTTTTTTTTTTGCTTTTTGTACGCGTTTCGTCTTTATTCTATTCTGTGTGTGTGTGTGTGTGTGTGTGTGTGTTTTCTACCCATTTCTTCTCTCTTTTTCCTATTTTGTTACCTACTCATTTTTCTCTTTTCTTTCTTCTACTCCTACTCTGTCCTTCTCCTACATTTACTTTCTATCTTTCTCCTCCTATTCCTGCACTCCACCTCACAGCTTCTAATCCCTCCCAATCGTACTCCTCCTACTCCTACTATCCGTATTTCTCCTACTGTTACTACAGCTCTTCTCTTCCTGTCACCAATCTCCGTCCTGCTACCTCTACTTATCTCTTTCCTTTTCCTCCGTCCTATTCCTTCTACCCTCCGTCCACATACTTCTCTCCTTACCAACCCTCTTATTAATCCGTCCTCATACTACTACTCTCTATAGCCAACTCCTCCTACTCTCCCTTATTCTTTCTGCTTCTCCTTTTAGATATTCAGTTCATAATTTCCGATGTAACATTCATTATTTTTTTTTCTACGCTTCTTTTTTTCCTTCTTGATTTCCTTTTCCTTTATTTAAAATCTTCATTTCATGTCTTCACCCTTTTCTTCATCCTTTTTTTTCTGTATGTCCTTTTTTAATATCCCCCGTGTCCTATACATATTTCCTCTTCATTATTGCCCTGGAGAACCGTTTTTCACGCATTTTCCTTTTTTTTTTACTTGTAAATACAAACATAAGAAATCCATCATTGAGAAATTTAATGGCCGATTGACAACAGATAAATTTATTTTCCCGCCTCTTTTTATGCTTCCGACGTCGCCATTATGAAGATGAAAGATGAGCACTTTAAACGACAAGATAAAATATACAACACTTCCTAGTGATCATAAATAGAACTGATGTCGCTAGGATGGTGAAGAATTGTGTTACTACCATGAGCTGATTTTTTTTAAAGTTGACGTTCAGTCGAATGGTAAAAGTGGAATGTATTTCATATCGGAGACTGACTGTTTTAACTGTTCCTGCCATTGTATTTTGTTCTTATTTTGAACTATTAAAAAGAAAATCAAAAAATACTGCAATTCTGTTAGTAGTTAGTCAGGTTGGTGCCATATGTGGTACACGGTTGGGCGATCATGTCTCTTTCGATTCATAACCGATTAGACAGATTTCCCATTAGTAGGTTGCCGTTTCTTTCTCTGGTTGCCAACAAAAGCTATAGGACCAAGTCTGTCATATTCAACTCATAGCTAAGATCGTGAGAGAAGAGAAGAATTCATAAGTTACCCTTTGTCGTTAAGCAGGGATTCCTCGAGGCATCTGTAGCAATTTCGCTTTCGATTCTCTCAGAAATTAGCCGTTTTCTGTAAGTTCTTAATTTATTCTCAACAAAATGAGTCTCGTCATTTTGAATTATCGATTTAGGAACATTTAAATGCTTAGAAAGTGTTGTATATCCATCACCTTGTTTGTACGCATCAACTATATTCATTGGGAGCATCTTGTCAAGTTCAGCCGTCTTCGCCATGGTTGCAGAACGAATGAGTTATCGTGGTACTCATATATTGTCTTCATTACGTTTTACGATGTTATAGAATCAAATCAATATCAATTCAATTCAAAAGGGTGTTTGTATTAAATGGCAAATTAAGAAAAAATAACATTACAATTACCATATTTAATTGCTTATATTATAATCATACTTTTAAGGCAGCTGCACAAAAAGTATAACGCAAATAAGAAAAAGCCACAACAAAAACGTAACAACCTGCAATAATGCAAACAAGGACCCCAATGTAACTGCAGAAATAAAACAACGTGCCTACTACAAGGAAACTGCCAACAAACGAACATAATATATAAAGCCAAGTTAAGTGCAAACAACAACACGATGTACTATATATATGTGTATGTGTGTGTATGTGTGTTTCATGCGCACAAGTGGTTAGAAAGTTCGTATTCTGACCATGAGACCCGGGTTCGAATCTCACCATGGTTGATTTGTAGAGGGGTCGATCCCAGCGTGCGGCACCTTTGGAAAATGCCTGAAAACCCTATCACGGGTTGACCCAAGCCTTGTGAGTGGAAGTGGGTAGACGAAACACTTGGAGCCCGTCGATAGCTGTGCTAGCACGAAGTCACAAGTCATCGTGGCCGAGGGCTTGAGCCTGCTAGCTTTGTTCAAATTATTAATCACGCTTTCCCAGAAACTGTAACTAAGGTCTGCTCGGCATAGTTGCAGTATAAACCACAAGTGTGTGCGTTAAATAAACACAAATGCGCCTGAACAAGCGCCTGCTAGCCGCCATAATAGACGCGTATCCTCGAATACGAGTGGCCAGCAATATATGTATGTATGTATGTATGTAGATATGTATTTGGGCCGCAAACATTCTTTTAAACATATTTCATTGAATGTGACAGACAAGGAAAATCTTAAGTTTTTTTTTTATTATGTTTAAAAAGGACTAAACATCAATTCTAAGACTGAATGAATTGTTGTCAGCAAAAGGGACAACCCAACATGCAAATTACAAATCGGAGATACCAAAATCAAACAAGTACAACAATTAAAATATCTGGGAAGTGTTTTAACAGAGGTTAGAAAGTATGATACTGAAATCCTAAGGCGCATTTCTATAGCGAAAGATGCCTTCCAAAAAGCTAAGTAAAGTATTAAAAAACAGAATGTTTTCGTTAAAAACATAGAAAAGAATACTAAAATGTTACGTAATATAAGCAATGCTATATTTCAGTGAAAGCTGGACAATCTCCTCACAGAAGAAGAAGACACTTGAAGCAACAGAAATGTTGTTTGATGGCATCACATATTGGCAAACCTCATCTGATTTCAAATGATATCTTAAATTTCAGACTGAACTCACTTCAAATAACACGCACCATGAATTGGAATAGTGAAAGATGCATTTCAAAAGCTAAGCAAATTATTAAGAAACATGGAAATTTCAGTAGTAACAAAGAGTGCTCAGTTGTTATGTAATATCAGTCCTCCTATATGGCAGTGCATGCTGAACAATCTCTTCACACCTGAAGCAACAACAGAAACGTGGTTCTAAAGAAAGATGCTGAGAATACCATGGACCGAAACTGTCAGCAACGACAAAGTTCTAAGACAATGGAAACAAATAAGACACTTATACTTATAATCAAAAAGAGATTTAAAATTTTTAGTTTACATAATGAGGAAAGAAGGCTTGGAGAATACAATACACTGAACATGTAAGCAGCAACATAGTTCTAGAGACAATGGAAACAAATAAGACACTTATACTTATAATCAGAACGAGAAATTTCTAGGTTATATAATGAGGAAAGAGGACTCTGAAAATTTGATACTCATAGGGCATATTGAAAGCAAGAGGAATAAAGGAAAACAAGGCATGACCTAGGTGATGACCTTGGAAAATCTTATACTCACCTGACATATTGAAGAGAAGAGGAGTAGAGGAAAACACCGCATAACCTACAGAAATGTAGCTCTACAGAAGGATGCTGAGAATACCATGGACCAAATCTAAAGTTCTAAAACAATGGAGACAAATAGGACAGTTAGATTTATAATCAGAAAGAGATTTGAAATTTCTAGGTTATATAATGAGGAAAGAGGGCTTGGAAAATTTGATACTCATATGGCATATT